CTGATTCCCAAACTGAACATGCTCCTGTGCTACAGACACGAAATGTCTCTTTGGAACAAATACAAGATGAACCTAATGCATCAGAGGATTGTTCAGGAATGAATTTGCCTGACATAAGTTTCTGTGACCATAAAGCCAATGATCAGATGAAGTTTTTCTTTATTGACAAGCGTATCCCAAAACGCAATTTCAAGTTCCCGTCGAAACTATACAAGGATAAAAGGAAAGCAAGCGGGGAAATAAAACGACACTGTCAATGGGAGTGTTTAATATTCTTAGTTTTATTGGCTATTCTAAATTACAGGGTGGCATTTTCTGCATTGCTTGTCGTTTTTTTCCAGACAGTTCTCATCGATGTGGAAAGAAATTTATAACGGAACCATGCAGAAACTGGAAGGATGCAAAAGAGGATTTAAAGAACCATGCTGAAACTGAATATCACTTGTCATCAATGGCTAGAATGAGAGGTTTCTTAGATACTTACCAAGTTCCTTCAAAACGCGTTGATGCTTCACTAGACGTATGCGCTGCTGAAAGAATGAAACAGAATCGGAAAATTCTGAAGTCGATTACAAAATCACTGATCTTTTGTGGTCGACGAGGAATCGCTTTACGTGGTCACAGAGATGACGACACAGAAAAATGTAATGAATACAACCATGGGAATTTTAAAGAACTCTTGAACTTTCGAATAGACTCTGGGGATCACATTTTAGCCGAACATTTTGCAAACTGTAAAAAAAAAATGCAAAATACACCTCTTCAACATGCCAAAATGAACTAGGAGACTTATTGTTCACAGAACAATAAAAGGTCTTTCCACCTTCTTTGAATTTTAATTTTGTTTTATATCTGACTCCTTAAAACTAAATTCCATGAATAAGAAACCAAAATTGTCTTAAAGGATAGAAAAAAATAAAAATTGAAAAAAATTTGAAATGACCTTTACCTTTGACCTTGAGAAAATGTTCAAGGTCAAAGCTCAAGGGTCACAATGCAATTGACCCCATGCTTCTACGACTTATAGTTTTTAGGTTATAAGGTTTAATAGTAAGTACAAAGACGTTAAAGGGCAATAACTCATATAAAGGGTCATCAGATCCTTTGGCTCTTATACAGTGAAGTTATGCCTCAAGATCCTAAAGACATTAGTGAAAGTTTGGTGTTTATACAGTCTAAAAATTCCGAGAAGTAGCGATTACAAGGTTTTTTGCACAAGGGGCAATAACTTTTAAAAGGGTTAATGTTAGGGAACAAAAATGAAATATTTAAAATAGTGTTAACAGTACATATTATTGATGCAAAGACATTAAGTATATGTTTAAAGACAAAAGAGATATAAAAAGAGCGTAAATTTCTCAAATTTTGAATGACCTTGACCTTTGACCTTTGCATTAATTTCATGATCAAAGGTCAGTGAATCTTTTGCAGTTGGTCCTATGTCTCTATCACTTCCCGTTTTGAAAATTTTTATTATTTTCTAAAATTAAAAAAGTTTCATGGGCAATAACTTATTGAAGGGGTCACCGAATACTTTCACAATGAAGAGATTCCAGAGTCCTCTCAATTAGTCAAAGACTTTAGTGAAGGTTTCATATTTCTACGGTTTACGGTTTCAAAGAAGTAGCGATAACAAGGTTTTTAGTACAAAGGGCGATAACTTTTAATAGGGTCAATCTTAAGGAATACGAATTAAATCTTTAAAATAGTTTTAAGAGTACATATTAATGATGCTAATACAGTTTGTATATGTTAAAAAGACAAAAAAGATATAAAAAGAGCGTAAATTTCTCAAATTTGGAGTGACCTTGACCTTTGACCTCTGCATAAATTTCATGATCAAAGGTCAATGAATCTTATGCAGTTGGTCCCATGTCTCTATCACTTCTCGTTTTGAAAATTTTTAATTATATCTAAAATTTAAAAAGTTTCAGGGGCAATAACTCATTGAAGGGGTCACCGAATACTTTAGCAATGAATAGATTCCAGAGTCCTCTCTATTAGTCGAAGACTTTAGTGAAGGTTTCATATTTCTACGGTTTACGGTTTCGAAGGAGTAGCGATAACAAGCATTTCTTGCAAAAGGGGCAATAACTTCGAAAGCGGTCATAGTTCATACGCGTTGGGTCAAATTTGTTCATAACTTTTAATGACCTTTACGATGAACAAAAAGTCTTTTCGATAAGTGTCGAAACAAAAAATCAGCGGAAGAAGAATAACTAGGAGACTTATTGTTCACAGAACAATAAGAGGTCTTTCCACCTTTTGAATTTCAATTTCATTTAATATTTATCTATTTAAAATTAAATTTCATAAAAAAAAGAAACAGAAATTGCTTAAAAGAAGAAAAAAATGAAAATGAAAATTTTTTAGGTGACCTTGACCTTTGACCTTCAAGTCATATTCAAGGTCAAAGGTCAAGGGTCACTTTGTAATTAATCCCATGTCTCTATGACTTACAGTTTTCAAGTTATAAGGTTTAATAGTAAGCACAAAAGCAATTAAGGGCAGTAACTCATTCAAGGAGTCACCAGATCCTTTTGCACTTGAACATAAAAGTTTTGTCTAAAGTCCCATAAGACATTAGAGAAGGTTTCGTGTCTTTGCGGTTTACGGTTTTGGAGCTATAGCAATAAAAATGTTTTTCATACAAGGGGCAATAATTTTTAATAGGGTCAATCTTAGGGGACGAGAATGAAATCTAAGACACAGTTTTAAAAGTACATATTAATGATGCATAGACATTAAGCATATGTTGAAAGACAAAAGAGATATAAAAAGAGCTAAATTTCTCAGTTTTGGAATGACCTTGACCTTTGACCTTTACATGAATTTTAAGCTCAAAGGTCAATGAATCTTATGCAGTTGGGCTCATGTCTCTATACCTTCTCGTTTTAAAAATTTTTAATTATTTCTAAAATTCAGAGACATTCAAGGGCAATAACTCATTGAAGGAGTCACCAAATACTTTCACAATGAATAAATTCCAGAACCCTCTCAATTAGTCGAAGACTTTAGTGAAGGTTTCATACTTGTACGGTTTACGGTTCCGAAGTAGTAGCGATAACAAGGTTTACCGCACAAAGGGCGATAACTTTTAATAGGGTCAATCTTACGGAATACGAATTGAATCTTTAAAATAGTTTTAAAAGTACATATTAATGATGCTAAGACAGTTTGTATATGTTAAGAGACAAAAAAGATATAAAAAGAGCTTAATTTCTCAATTTTGGAATGACCTTGACCTTTGACCTTTACATGAATTTTAAGCTCAAAGCTCAATGAATCTTATGCAGTTGGTCCCATGTCTCTATCACTTCTCGTTTTGAAAATTTTTAATTATTTCTAAAATTCAAAAAGTTTCAGGGGCAATAACTCATTGAAGGAGTCACCGAATACTTTCGCAATGAATAGATTCCAGAGTCCTCTCAATTAGTCGAAGACTTTAGTGAAGGTTTCATATTTCTACGGTTTACAGTTTCGAAGGAGTAGCGATAACAAGCATTTCTTGCGAAAGGGGCAATAACTTTGAAAGGGGTCAAAGATCAAACATGGGGGGTCGTTTTTCAGAATAACTTTTAATATCCAATGTCATGAACTATAAAGTTTTTCGATAAGTCTTGCGGTTTCAAAAGTCCGGGAAGAAAAATAATAATAATAATAATAAACATAAGCATTTCAAGAGGTCTTTCCACAGAAAGGTGGAAAGACCTAATAATAAGAAACAGAAGAAAATCAATAGGTCTTTCCACAGAAAGGTGGAAAGACCTAATTACTAGGGTGTATTAAGAGTTATATTCAGAATGAAATTGTGAAAGAAATAAATCAACAACCGTTTGGACCACACTATGGACTACAATGTGATGAGGTAACTGACATAAGTAACTGGGAACAATTGGGAATCGTCTTGCGTTATACACGTGACAATAAACCTGTGGAACGATTACTATTTGCAATGTGAAGGTTAGAAATTTTGTGACAATGTCATTATACCCCACACAACTAGTTGCGTGAGGTATAATGTTTTTGACCAGTCGGTCAGTCAGTCAGTCCTTTTTTTTTTGTCAACGCAACTCCTCGTAAACCGCTGCACAGAATTTCGTCAAACTTTGCAGGTATTTAGGACACAATGTGTAGATGTGCATATTACCAGGAAATTCCCGATTCCGTTACTTTTTCCGGGAATTTCCGAACCTTTTTACTTAGGTATTTGGCCATACTTTGAATATAGAGATGAACAGTTTGTCAGCGCAACTCCTCATAAACCGCTGCACAGAATTTCGTCAAACTTTGCAGGTATTTAGAACACAATGTGTAGATGTGCATATTACCAGGAAATTCCGATTCCATTATTTTTCCCGGGAATTTCCGCACTTTTTAACTTAGGCATTTGGCCATACCTTGAATATAGAGATGGACAGTTTGTCAGCACAACTCCTCATAAACCGCTGCACAGAATTTCGTCAAACTTTGCAGATATTTAGGACACAATATGTAGATGTGCATATTACCAGGAAATTCCTATTACTTTACTTTTTCTTAAAATTTCCACACTTTTCAACTTAGATTTTTGACCATACCTTAAATATAGCGCAACTCCTCATTAACCGCTGCACAGATTTTCGTCAAACTTTGGAGATATTTAGGACACAGTGTGTAGATGTGCATATTACCAGGAAATTCCAATTCCTTTATTTTTCTGCGAACTTCGGCACTTTACAACTTAGATTTTTGGGGATATCTTGAATATAGTGGTGAACAGATTGTCAGCGCAACTCCTCATAAACCGCTGCACAGAATTTCATCAAACTTTGCAGATATTTAGGACACAATTTGTAGATGTGCATATTACCGGGAAATTCCGATTCTTTCATTTTTACCGGGATTTTCAGCACTTTGAGTTTTGGGGGAGCGTGGGGTATGTGAGCTTTCTCACTTTTTCTTTCATTAAATCTCTTTCGTCAGCTGGCATTGATGTAAAATGCTGCTGTTCTCAAACAATGGATGGGGCAGCAAACATGTCCGGAAAATACAATGGATTTGCTGCAAAATTCCAAGAAGTTTCTCTAAAGGCAACATATCACTACTGCAGTAACCACAATTTGAATCCAGTCCTCTGCAAGAGTTGTCAGGTGAGGGAAGTGCATGTGTTGTTGGATGCACTGAAGCAATTTGGAATTTTCTTCCATTACTCTCCAAAGAGGAGCAGGCGTCTCGAAAAAGCTGTAACTACCGTGAATGAAGGAAGACCAGCAAAAGATGTCATTACAAAATCAAAAATGAAAATATTTTGTGAAACTCGATGGGTGGAGAAAATAACACTTCGGGATTTTGAAGATCTATATGAAGCCCTCCTTAATTGTTTAGATGCGATTGGGTTTTCTGAACGCGGATGGGATGGAAAAGCAGTAACAGAGGCCTATGGGTTTATGAGGCGCATAACAGAGTGTACATTCATTGTAAGTTTTCAAACAGTGCTGCGTCTTTTTGGCTATTTGATGGGGCTCAGTAAAAAACTTCAGGGAACTGACATTGACGTGATACAAGCCTACGACATGGTAGAACTTGTAAAGGAAACAGTAAAACTTGCAAGAACCAGTGAAGCTGATTATAATATCAGAAAAAATGGCAAGAACAGCTGATATTACAATTGAAATTCCTCGAAGATGTGGAAGACAAACCCAAAGAAATAATATCGAAGCAGAAGATCCCAGAACTTATTTCAAACGTTCAGTTTTCATACCATTTTTGGATATCATTCAGCAAATGGACATGAGGTTTGGTACTCTTGCTAAAACAGCCCTTCGTGGGTTTTACCTATTACCAAACAATCTTAACAAAATCACAGAGGAAACAGTCCCTTCTCTAGTTGAATTCCGCAACACTGATTTACCATCCCCATCTACTTTTTCTCAGGAATTGGAGCTCTGGAAGAGGCTATGGTCTAGTCAGGAAGACCGACCAGACACCATAACTTCCACACTATCAGACAAAAGAACAAGTTCAATTCTATTTCCAAATATTTCAAAAATTTTGCACTTGCTACAGCTAACTGCAGTCTCGTCAAGCGGAATAGAACGTGGAAACACATCTTTAAAATATATCAAACGGGCGTCGAGGAGTTCTATGTTAGAAGAAAGATTAAACGCACTTCTTCTTTATGTACTAGTATGTCAGGACATCAACATTGACGTCGAATCAGTCGTTGAAATGTATGTTAGGCAGCAGCCTCGAAGAACGTTACTAATCAATCCTCCAGCAGATAAATAACTATGCAAATTGAATATAATTTTGTGATTTGAGCAATAAATTACAATCCAAGACCACTGCCTTCTTTACCTGATTACTTCTTTTACCTAATAATGCTAATCAGATTATTTAAATGTTGATCAACTGAATCATTATGCTTCTTTTGATAAGCAGATAACTGCCTAAAATTAGAACCAACGTAAATTAAAGCATTAGCGTCAGACTGTTCATCAAACATTAAAAATCCAAAGAAAATATGAGAAGAAAAATGTACAAATGTCTACTCGGTAGGCCTCATTTTTACCCTACAAAATCTCTAGAATCCAGGAGCTTCAGAGGGCTTCGCCCCCTGGGCCCCCACCAGGGCTTCGCCCTGGACCCACTGGGGGCCTAAAGGAGGCCCCCAGAACCCTTGCATACTTTTGGCGCCCCCCTAACTTCAATTCCTGGATCCGCGCCTGCATTTGCCATTATGATTTAACTTTCCATCGATTTTACATATTTTAAAAGAGAACAACTGCTTTTGGGATTTAAAAAAAACTTGGTTTAACAACATGGTCTTTAACATTTTATAATACCACAGCATTTTGACAACCCGACATCACTTAAATGTTTGAAAATTTTCTCTTTAGCGTGAAAAGAAGACAGATCATAACGAAAACTAACTGCTAAGTTCAAAACGAACGTATTTCCTATTTCCGTATTTTCATAATAGCTAAACATGAGACGTATTTTTGGCTGAAAATCCGTACAAAATACGGCGAAATCGTGAGAGTAAACAGGTCTGAATTTTGTCTATTCGGCACTCAGAGCCATTCAGCAGGGAGGGATCTTTTTCGTGCCAGCACCTATTGCTTGCTACACGGGACCTTAGTTTATACGGTCTCATCCGAAGGACCGGTCTCCACGTCCCACAGTATAGGATTCGAACCCGCAACGTAAGGATCAATTCCTTACTTCGCGACTCCATTGCAGACGCTGAAAGCAAACATAAAAAAATGATTGAAAGAAAAAGTATTAGTACTTTTCGATACAAGACAACAAATAAATTTCATTTAATTTACTTGGACATTAGCGCAGGCTGGTCAACAATATCCCTAACAATAAATAACTATAGTTTACTACAGTAAATTAGAGTAATTTACTCATAATACTTCCTGTAACTTACTCTAAGTTATGTTTAACTTTTTGAGATTTTGAAGCTTAAAATCATTCATATTCGATAGAAAGATTAACAATGATGTTATTTTTAGGAATTATACATGATTATATAATGAGTGAAAAGTTCTCGAGAGGGACGTTAAACAACAATCAAACAAAATCTTAAGGAAAAAGACCGTTTCGTGAACGTCAAGGACGGTATATACAGCTGTTCGACAGGCAATATCTCAGCAAGATGTTCTTATGAGTATAAGAAGCATTATTAATATTGACAATGTAGATTGATTCCATTCCTAATTACTCTCTCAAGGACTACCATCAGCAGCGTACAACGTGGGTGAAGATCTGCCAAGTGTTCTTGCATAGATAAAAGTTATCAAGTGTACCACTCTCAGTCGTCGACTCCAATGGTTTGATGGGAGAACCACACAAATCAACACTAACAGAGTAAATGTGGAACTTCAGAGACTATGCATCTCGTGAAATTATGGAGAATATGACGTTATTTATGGTTTTGATTTTGTCCCAAGGTTAAAGTGGAGGAATTTTTGCAAAACAGATACGAAAATGCTGTCATATGGCTGCACCTGGCAACTAAGCATCAAAGACATGACACATCTAAATAAAGGCACAGGAGTTTTTATTTACTAGTATCTGCAAACTCCATTCAAGTCCAGCAAAGATGTTCTCCCTACAAACACGAAACAAACGATTCATTGATCTTCTTGTGGATATGTAGGAGAAATTTGGTGTGATGTCTTTTACGCAGAAGTTAAAGGTGACCTTAAAATAAACCAGACAGCAATATCATAATCATCAACAAAAACATTATTAGATACGACACTGATGAATTTGTTCCCTTGTCTCATTTCTATGTTTCGGTACTCCATGATAAAAATTTTTGAGATGACTTCCGAAAAAGAACTTGAAATGTAAAGTATGGGATATTTAGACGTCAAGAAATAGTTATTATGCAGTTCTTTTGCCTCCTGCCATACATGCAATAACTGTATGCAACACTACTTCCCGAATGAAGCTGCTGCATGCCCTGAAAAAACTTAAAGAATATTTGATCATTACAAAGAAAATTTGAGATCTTTTACGTGTATAAGTAAAGTATAACTTCCAAGTAACGAACAAATGGAGGCCTTCCTTAGGCAGGGTTAAATATTCTGCGATCCAGAAAGGTTGGAACAAAGTGTGCAGCTGGATCTATTGCAAATCACTGTCAAAACCTACCACCGACATAAGATGCTGCATCTTTCCACATTACAAGAGCAATTCATCAAACCTATTAGTGGATGCTATAAACAAAGTTTACTGAAACAAAATGAGGGTGGTATCTGTCATATAAAAGCTTTTATCCAATCAAAACTGTCGCCCGCGTGGCGCAGTGGTTAGAGCGTCTGCTCTAGAGTCGGGAAATAAGGAGTTGATCCTTACGTTGCGGGTTCGAATCCCACTGTGGGACGTGGAGACCGGTCCTTCGGATGAGACCGTATAAACTGAGATCCCGTGTCGCAGGTGCTGGCACGAAAAAGATCCCTCCCTGCTGAATGGCCCTAAGTGCCGAGTATAGGACAAAATTTATAGCTCTCCACCGGTTAGGCCGGAATTAAAAATATCTTTGTTTCCCCTAACCCGACCCTAAATTCTCAAGTTGGGTCGGTAAAAAACAATTTTATTTTCTGACAGCAGCTTTGAAAATACATTCTAAAATTTAATGGAAAATTACCTTTATAAATAGGAAAAGTACAACAGAAAGCGATTTGTGAGCAATATGCTAAGTATCGTACATTTGCCGTTTAAAAGCAAAATTCATGATTAATTAATTCAAAGCAGTTATTTAGTTGAACTTGTGAAATATCTCACGCCATTACATTTATATAAATTGAATAAAATAGACAAGATTCTCAGATACGCAAAGACCAGACATACGAGTATATTTTGTCAAACCTTCCATCAGAGCTTATAAACGATCAATGTACTTTTTTGAGGGCCATGAGATTTGCAGTGGTTCTGGAGCATTTTGCTTTGGAGTTAAGAAGTCAGTGGCCAATTTTAAATCGTAGGTTCAAATCCCAATGAAAACGGTCCTTCAAAGGGGACCATAAAAACTTATGTCCAGTGTCGCAGAAGATGCTGGCTCAAAAAAGATCCCCCACTGCTTAATGGCAAAAAAGTGCTGAGTACATCTAAATTTGGAGCAATGGGGAAATGTTTAAATGTCGTCCTAACAAATCTCGCAGGGATTAAAAGCAAAGAAACAACCAATCTTCAAGGGCCTAATTAAAGAAAAATACACTGGACGTCTCAGGAAGCTGAATCATGATTTCAAAACTATTTGGAAAGAGTATGTTAATTAACAATATTTAATTGAACCAAACTGAATCTACAAATGATAAAAATGCTATATACCGGTACAATGTCATAGTCACGAAGTTTAACCACTAAATAAAGGCATGAAGAAAGAACATCTGAATTATATTAATCGGGTTGAATATGCAGACATATTTACAACAACTCCTATGGTTCCATAATGGCATATAATAAACATAGGAACATAGATGAAATGGTTATTAGATCAAAACTGAAATTAAATAAAATGCAGTGAAATTGAATGATGTCTTAATTAGGTGGACCCTCATCTATTCATGAGGCGGACCTTACCATGTATTTAGTACCTTAAATTCAAAGACAGGTTTGTTTGTTTGTTGTTTAACGTCCCTTTCGAAAAAATATTCATGGAGACGCCAAGACACCTCCGAAACTCTCTTAATTCATGTAATTAGTCATGGTAAATTTTATTATCGAATTGTTTCAAGAGTGAAGAATTCCAATTAGCTAAAAGCATAAGATTGAGACGTCGCCATTGTTTTATGAAGAGCTAATGCCCTGTAATCACATTTGGACGTCATTTTGTTTCCAACAATTGCTTGAAAATCACAGTAGAACAAATGGCCGTTCTGATAAAAACTGACTTTGATGAAGTTGTATTTTATAAAACTTGGTTAACAATAAAAAAAATACTTGAATCATCTTATTTAAAAAATCTTTTCAGTCGGCGCGATTTAATTGGGTCTCCACCGGTATTTTTTATTTTTAGTGGTGGCGTCTCCAAATGAGAGTCCCCCTGGAGATCCCGGGTAGAATAGGTCCTCAGTACCCCCTTGCTTGTCGTAAAAGGCGACTAAATGGGGCTGTCCTTCGGATGAGACCGTATAAACCGAAG